CTCCCGGCCCGCTCCCGCAGCCCGCACCATGGAGCGCCGCGTCGCCCGCGAGTTCCGGCACAAGGTGAGGCTGCGGGGACAGCCGGGGCCGCCTCCCCGACTGGAGCGGGGGCTGCGGCCGTCACGGCCCCCCTGGCCGGGCACGGCTCTGCCCCGGTGAGCCGGGGGGAGGAAGCGAGAAGCTCGGGGACTTTGCACTGCCCTGCCAATGGCGCGGGTGGCAGCCTCCTGGGAGGGGATGGGTGCTAAAACCCTTAGAAAGCGAGGGAGAGAAGAGGAAGGTTCCTCAGTGGGAGAGCTTTCCCAGGGCCCAGTTTTCCAGGATCAGTTCGTGTTTTGTTTAATGCCCTGTGGGAGCTGGCGCCGCTCGGGGCGGGTGCTGCAGTGCAGGCGCTGGCAGTGCCCGCTCGGCCCGCTGAGATTCCTCCTTAATGTTCGCACCCCTGTGCAAATGCACTTGATACGAGGAGCGGCTCGGGCTGCCTGGCACCGTCCTTATGTCATTTTCCCGGTTAAATAAGTGCTCGGCAGAGCGCAAAATTGTATGAGCGAAGAACGCTCAAAAGACTCTAATTAAAGAAAGGAGGAGGAAAATAGTTTCCGTGTGTAAAAGATGGTTTTGCCAAGCCATTTAGGACTCTCGGAGTAAAGTTTTCTGTAGTGCTTTGTGGGGGTTTCGTTTGTTTTATGAAGGAAGTTGTGGTTGATTTTATTTAGTTTTTGGGTTGTTTTTTTTTTGTCAGCTAGGACACACAGTTTCTGCAAAGTAATGTCATGTTTTATGGAAGTATCTGTCACTTGAAAATAAACGCATTAACTAAAGAATTGTTAGGATGAATTAGAAGGACAGCAAAAAAACTTACATCAAACTGGTGTTCAGAAACTGGATATTCCATAATGATGACTGTAACCATCTAGCACATTGTTTCTGCCTTGCTTCCTATTACTGTATAACTCAGCAGTGGGTTGTGCAACATTTCTGTAAAGACTGGTTTCTAGGTGGGTGGTTACTGTCTTGAACTTTAAACCTTCTCCCTTTCATTGCTGCTATAATTCATAAATCATTCAAGCCCCACCCCTGATAACGTAAGATGTATTTTCAGTGTTGCTGCAAAGAGCTGGGATGCAGATATCAGTGACAGCCTTATCTGAGTTAGAAGACATTGAAACAAGTATTTTCTTTTTTTTTATTTTGTATCATCCTGCTTCTAGTGACCTCTGCGACATCCGCTGTCTTGGATACTTACTTTTTCTGTGACATACCAGTGAAGATGCTCACTACAAGATCTAAATTTCCTCAGTTAGTGGCCATTTTATTTCTTTTCTTTTTTTCTTAGTTTCTTTTTTTCTTAGCAATTTTAATCAGTTTCCCTATCAACCAAGCAGCAATGTAAAATATGTAATACATTCAAACCATATTGACCAGTTTTTCCCTTTCCTTCAATAGTTTTCCAAAATCTGTGTAGCTTAAACAGCACTTCATATTTCTTCTTTGAAATCTGGCAGATTGGTATAGTGCTAAGATAGTGCATTATTGTCATCTGAATTTTTTCCACACCAAAAAGTGCTTTTTTCCTCCCCACAGCTTCTATTCTACTGAATAAACTTAGGTAGACTTCTTGACAGACTTAATTTTTTTGGTTGGTTGGTTGGTTGGTTTTTTGGTTTTTTTTTTTATGTATGAAGGTGCAGGTTGTGTGATGATTTTTTTTTATTATTAATTTCTATGAAAAACAGCACAATGTATGTAGTGAGAAATAGAGCATAAGCAACTCTATATTCTAGGATTATCAATGATACAACTACTATGAAGCTTCTTTAAATAATCACAGAAGGGTTGAGGATGGAAGAGACACCTGGAGGATGTCTGTCCCTACCCCCAGTGCTCAGGGCCACCAAGAGCTGACTGTCCAGGGCTGTACCCAGATGTTTTTTCTTAAATACCCGTGGTTTAAAAGGTGTGAAATCACCTATCCCATTACTCTACAGTCATTTTCTTGAGAAAATTTTCTTCTGTGATCCAAGTTATGCCATGTCATCACTGATTTTTTTATTTTTTTTCAAGATAGTGGGAGCATGACATTTTAGGATTTATGAAATTAGAGTCAGCTTTTAGAAGCTGGTAAGTCCAGGTAAAGCATATGTCTACAGTAATACTTTACCCCAAGGAGTTAAAGAATTAGGAAAATGGCAAGAGATGCAGGTGGCTATGAGGCAGTGATAAGTGATGGAATAGAAGGCAGCAGGAGGAGAATAACCCATTAGTAGGGGTGGCCCAGGATGATGAACCCAGTTGTAGCATTCCGAATATATTAGAAATCATGTGGATGCTGGGTTTTGTCAGAGGAAGAGGAAGTTGCTGATGGAGGATGAGAAGTGCAGGAGTCAGAAAGACTGAACATTTTGACAGAAGAAATAGCAGAATTTAAATGTGGCCCTCCATTTTCTTAGAGGAAATGGTGATGTATCCACCAGCAAGCATATCAGGAGAGAAATAGCATGTTATCAATCTTTGCTTTCCCTGCTAGGAAAAAGAGATGATGATGGTTTTGCCATTTGCTGTGTAGGGTTGATGCACTTAAACATAGAATGTTCTTTGTGGGACACTGTTCATACAATATCTTTGCTAACACCAGGGATTGAGCTCTGTATTTTACCTGTCAGGGAAGTGAAAAATGGATGCTGGAATTAGTTTACCTTGAGTTTTGCCTTTACAGTTTTGAGTTTGCCTTTACAATTGTGTCGAGTCAAGTATTGCTGGAGTGCCCAGTATTGCTGAAGTTTTGATGGCAAACATTTTATTTCCTTTTAAGACAGACTTTATCCTGTGTATGTTGAAATTCACCGTGAATAAATGGGCTTACTCACTGGTGTAACTGTAAAGCAATCTTGACCTGCTTGTAGCTTTCTGGCCTTTAGGTGTTTCGAAAGTGTCTTTTTCCAGAGGAGACAAGTAACAGAAAACCACCTGTATGCAGAGTCTTGCCGGCTTTAGAGAGCCAGAAGGTACAAGTAATAGAAAACCACTGGTATGTGAAGTCTTACTGGCTTTAGGGAGCCAAGTGGGACAAAAGGAATATGAAGCATGTATTTAGTTTAGAACATAATACAAACCATTGCAAACCTAGAAAGAAAGGGCCTTTCTTTAAGTATGCAAATTGCTTCTCAGTCTTCACGTCACAGTAATATTACCCTTTAGGTCAGATGTAAATTGTTTTCCTAAACATCAGGCTTGTCCAGATGTAAAACCAGTGTGATGTGATGTCTCTTAACAAGTAAGATTAGTAGGGGTCTCACTATCACTGAATATAAATTTAACTCCTCATGTAAGAATTCAGGTTTGGTTTTCTTTTGTTTTAATTTACTGTAATTATCCAAGAGCGGGCATAGTAATATGACACTGGTTTAAGTAAAGGTACAATTAGTGGGGGAGGAAAGAATAACTAGCTCTTAACATCAGTTAAGAGCTGGAGCAAGGAGGAACAGAGATGTAGCAGTTTGCATAATGCTATAAGTGAGCTCCTGAAATCAGTGGTTTGGACGACAGGACAGAGATTATATCTCGGTGTGGTGGTTTTATCTGTGACAGCATGTGCTACATTAACGAGTGGCCAAAAAGGTTTCTGAAGACATTTATTCAACAGTACAGTGATTACCAGGTAAGACAAATATGATACTACTGTAATAATACCACTGCCACTGCTGAGGGGAAATCTAGCAGACAGAATACATCAGGATTCACCACCTTGTCTAATTGTTGTCATATTAACTTTAGAAAGTCTCGTTTTAAGTGTGACATTGTGAGGTAGTGCTCTATTGAAAAAATATGTTTATCTTTAAAAAATTCTTTTTCCTTGATGAAATCTTTGCTCTATGGCTTAAGAATCTGTGAAAGTCTCTCATGTTAAGCATTTGTGGCTATTAAGTCAGGGTTTAACGATAATGTCTTTGGGTTTTCAGGTCAATCTATTAATTGACAATGAAGCAGAGAAGGATTACCTTTATGATGTGCTGCGGATGTACCACCAGTAAGATCTAGCTTTATACATGTTTGTGTAGAATTTTACTAATATTTTTAAATTTGAAGAATTAATATCCACTATTTTAAATACTCTTTCTATATGCTACTAGAAAAGTAGTTGAAATAAGAGGTTTTTATCCCATTTAATGAAGTCTGTTGGTTTCACAGCATAACCTGCAGGCAAAGAAGGAGCATGTCTGTAATTACTTCTTAAGTTCCTTTGGTTTTTTGACTTGGCAGTTTTTTAAAAGATTTTGGTGGATTCATACTTGGAGTGTAGGGGGGGAAGACTCCTGCATGATAAAACTGTTCTTAGGAAACAGGAAGAGAACATTAATAAATTCATTCATAAAATTTCCAAATAAAGCTTGTTTATTTGATACGAAGTTTTCACTGACACTGCTTTTCAAAGATTTTTTGCTAACTTGTCAAAGAAAAATTTTGCAACTATCCTTCAGAAAGCTGGAAAAATTTAGTCTTGGAATCTGTTTGGCATGTTTAGTGACTCTGGCTTATTACAACACAACAGTAAAAAATGGGGAAGGCGATATTACTAATCCTATCGCTGAACTGATTTAAACCACAGTTGCCTCAGACTTGTTTTGCTGCAAATGACAACCTATGATCTATTGCTTTTCAAAGAAGATGAGAATATATTTTCCACTAATCATAGCCAAGTGGCTCTGATGGACATTGTTTCCATTGGTATTGTAATTAAAAGCTGAGTGAAATGTAGACGTTTCCATCTGATGTTTGCACCGAGCTGTAGTTATGGGGGTATTCAGCTGCATATCTGATTCAGTTTCACTCAGGTCTGTCTAATTGCTTTTCCATTCATAAAGACTGTTGTTTGGAAAGCCAGTTGGTTCAGCAGATCTGAATTATTTAAAATCTTCTTGCAGTTACAAAATTAACAATGCATATGGCAACTTTTCTTCAATTTCCACAATTGCAATGACTTGGGCAACATTTTCAGTATCTCTGTGAACATATAATGATGATGTATCACTTCCTGGGAATACATTATGAAATATGTATGGCAAAAAACCGTGCAATTGCTGATGGAGTTAGGACTTAATATCTGCTTCACTGTGAATAACATTTCCAGAAGTATTTGACCTCTAATCCTGTGTAGGTATTCCTGATCCGTATTTTCAATGCCCATGCCTCAGAAATATTGCAGCCAAGAAACATAAATTAAAAGAAAGGGAACATCAAAAAATATAGAAAAAGTTTAGCTGACTGTTTTATAGGAATAGCTCCACTGAGCCTTAGCTCCACTCCTGCAGCTGTAAAACAAAGTATATATTATAGACCTGTATCTATCACAGTGCTGACAATTTCAAGACCACTTTGCTTAGCTCTCATAAAAGAGATGCTCACAGCAATTGAACTTCTGTAGGTTTTGTTAATTTGTTAATCACCCTTCAAATTTGATTTTGAGCAAAAATAAGGTCTTTGCTCTAGTTGCTGAGTATTATGATTTTTTTTTTTCTTAGATTGAAACAATTTGTCAGTCCTCTAAGCTCAGGAAAGAAAGGAGCTTGTAGCCTAGGTTTACTTAGAAATATCACTAACTATTAAGGAAACAAAAATCCATTAGGTACGTATGTCTAATTTGAAAAGTTATTTTCAAACAGTTCCATAAATCTTGTGGGTACTCTGAGAATGAAATTGGAGATGTCATCTATAAATGTGATGTGCATGACCTTAAAAGATCAAGTGAATGTATAGAAGACTTCAGATGTTTTGAAGCAAGTACTCTTTATTTACAGAAGGTTTGCTTTCCCAGGGGCTATTCTGCTTTCGTCAAACCAGTATAAATATCTTTTTTTAGTAGCCTGAACGGACATTCAAATACTGAAGCTATGTGCACAGCAGCTCATAAAGCACAGCTTTTTGTTGGTGTGTTGTTTACCTGTGTTGGTTTTGTCACTGTGTTTTTGCAGGTCTATGAATCTCCCAGTGCTTGTGGGGGACCTAAAACTCGTGATTAATGAACCAAGCAGGTTGCCTCTGTTTGATGCTATCCGCCCACTCATCCCATTAAAACACCAGGTGGAATACGATCAGCTTACACCCAAACGATCAAGGTAAGAGAATGCAAAACAAAAACAAAAACAACCAAAAAAAAAAAAAACCAAGCAAACAAATAAACAAAAGCAGCTAACTTAAATGCAAGTAGGAAATACTGAGTTTCGGGGTAAATTCAGCATCAAATATTGTTCATCTGTGTAGAGTTGAGCATACTTACTTTAATTTTGCTATTTTTGCTAGAAGTACAGCTACCTGTACTATACTTAAATTGTTTGCCAAGTGGTCTAGTAAAAGCAGGGTAAAGGAGTAAAAAACAATCTTTTCTCATTTTTTCTGCATTTAATAATAAAACACCCGCATAGCTCTAACTCTCTAAAAGCAGCTTTCAATCATTGCAAATAACCTTTTATATGAATAAACTTGATGGTTTTAGTTAACACACATCCATCCAAACTTCAGTGAACTTGCTTTTTTAATGCCTAAACTATATAAGAGAAAAACAATGTCTAAATTTCATATGAATCATTATTGAGACACTCAAGTGTTTTCCATTTTTGCAGAAAGCTGAAAGAGGTGAGATTGGATCGTTTGAATCCTGAAGGGCTTGGATTAAGTGTAAGAGGTGGAGTGGAATTCAGCTGTGGCCTCTTCATCTCCCAGTTAGTTAAAGGAGGACAGGCAGACAATGCTGGACTTCAGGTAAGAAAAGTCTGTTCATGTTAGGTGCTAAGGGCTGTTCTTTCACATTTAGAAACTGCTTTTGCTAAGATGCTCTGTGTCTCTTCTAGTAGAATTCCTAAGATATGTAAGGCAAGGCCATGGTAAATACCATTATGCTAGTGGTGAATCAAGTTATTAAAAATGTTCATTTTGCTGTTTTTAATGATATGTAAAGCTTTTTTTAAAAAAAATTTTGTTTGGGATATGTTAACTGTGGAATGTTGTAGGGTTTTCTGGAATGTTTACACTTCATGAAGAGCAACAATTATATGTAAGCAGATGGAAAGAAAGATCTCTAGACTGTGGAAGAGTGCTTTAAGTTGCCAAGTTCTGATAAAATGTAGAACAGTGCATTTCTAAAAGTGTTCATTCCATCTTGCACAGATATAATTCGTGTAATGAAATGTTTACTTGAACTTAATGTATAAGTTGTGAGGGTTTTGGTTTATGCAACAAAATAACATATTTTTGACTATTCCCAGTATCCTCTACTGCATGGAATTGCACTTTCTGTGATTGAATTTTGGATACATAAACTTGCCAATAGGGTCAGCAAAAATAATTATGTGTAGAAACACTGCAATACTTATGCAATTTGCATGAATGAAGTTTTGGGTGTCTGGTTTCTTTTTGAATGTGGCATTACTTAGTGAAAAGAGAAGCAAGGAATTTCTGTGCCGAATGTCTGCATCTTGCAGTCAGACTTTGAATCTGATAAGGTGTGTTAAAGATCTGAGTTTCTGACTGGAAAGACTAATATGCCTGGCTACTTTTAATCTGTCAAGTCTGAATATTTGCTGAAAGTATTGATGGCTAAGGATTATGTTTAACACTAGTCCAAAATATATTAGACTAGCATGATTCATTACAGAGTTTAATTAAGCTAGCATGTTTTGTAGATACGCTTCAGTATTACCTCACAAATATCTTAGATTAAAAAGTAAAAATACATATCTGTCAACAAGGTAGTTGAAGTTAGGTTTCCATGTTTGTGTCACTCGGACTGAAAGCTAAAATTTAAACTGTTCCTCTTTCTGTTTGCATGCATGTGCCTGCCCTTCTGTTTGTGCATTCATACCTATATATCCCACTCAGAATCACCTTTGAATTAGTTCCATCTTCTGTGAGCCTGCTCTGCAGAGGGGCATGACTGGCCTGCATGACAGGTGCATCCAGGGGGATGCTTTAGAAACTCCTTGGAACAAAAGCACAAGTTCAGTATGTAGCTAGAGCTGAGAGGGTTTAATAGCTCAGCACAAACCTTATGCTCTGTGTGTTGTCAGCCCAGTTTAAGCATGGGATTTGCCAATGGGCAACTGCAGAAAAGGACATTGATGCACCTTCTCTGAGTTCACACTACAAAAGTTGATGTACCTCATTCTCTACGCTACACAGCAAGAATGGGAAGCGTAGACAAGGCCTTAAAGTAAGCCACTGCCTTAAGTTAATTGCCATTTTTATACGTTTGTGTTAATGCTGTGTTGCAGCTCTGCTTCTCTGCTCATTTCAGACGAATGTTTTGAAACAATCACTGGATAATAGTGATGCTCAGCTGTTGTGCCGCTATTAGGATGTCAGTTTTCCTGCTTTCTCTGTATGCAAAAGGCCCCATGGCCTTCTGTGACAGAGGTCATCGTAGGACATGTTGGTGTCAGTGAGGGGGATTGTAAAGGATCTTTGGGCTGGAGTGTACAGACTCTATTGCAACTCAGAACATAGTTGGGCTTTAGCAGACAAAGTAGGGACAATAAGGGGCAAGAATTGAGGCTTGACTCTGAACTTATTAGGGTTAGATGATATGAATTAATATGGGTAGATGGTGCTTTGAAGCTCCTGCAACGGCCTGGCTTCTGCTTTTCGATATGTGGTGTTAAAGCTCAGCCTAAAGTGCCTGAATAATAGGTGGCACTAGGCACTTTCTGAACCTCACTGAATAACAAGACCTGACAGGCAGCCCATTGTTCTAAATTGCTGTCTCACAGTAAAGCCAACTGCTTCTGAAATTTCACCCACCTGCTTTATTTAACAAAATCTCTACACATTTTCAATCCCAAAAATGCAGACTGAGAAAGGTATAATGATTTTCTATTATACCATCAGTTTTACATCCTGCTACTTTTAAAATTTCCAGTTCAAATGGCATGATTTCTCCTTGAAGTACTTTCCAAGTTAAAATGACCAAATAATAATGAAGGTTCTCTGTGGCACTTGTAGTTTTGACCCTTTTTTGACTACAGTTTCTCTAAAAGGCACAAGTGTTTTCTCCTTCCATTAAGAAATGGACTTCATCTCACACCCCCACTGCTTTTTGATACTTGTGTATGAGGATTCTGCTGAATACAAAGAGTTTGGTGTGAATGATGAAAGTGGAAGCAGTATACAAAATGGGAAATTTGAAACAGTTGATGTTATTATATGAAGCCCTTCAATTTCCTAGAAGCACTAAATATTATATTTCTCATGTTAAAAGTTAGAAATAATAGTCATTTTACTTGAGAAAAGTTAGGTTTACATCTTTTTTCTAAAAAATCTGTCATCTCTCTGATTGATAGGGAAAGGGGAAACTGTGACATAATACCAAAATAATTGTTACTGTTCTGCTCTGCTCTGTCCCACGGACTTTTATCTCTACAGCTCTGATTCATTAGCTTGGTATACAGTGATACCTGTACAAAAGTAACAAAATACATGAAAACAGCTATTAATTACCCCAATATTGGATGTGGTTGTTCAGGAAAAGCTGTTCAAGTATCCTAAAGAGAAGCAGTTTGCTGTATGCCTATACATCTGTAGTTCAACCTAGTTTGGGTTATTTTTAAGGCAGCCTTAGTCATTGTCTGTCAGCAATACAGATGTCATTAGGTTGAGTGAAGAGTGTTGAGTTTCAGAAATAAGATGACACTCTATTGAAGGAGAGTATTAAAAATATCTGTATGGGAAAAGCTCATTCCTATACTGGAGGGAAAAATCAAATATGCTCTTGTATGCATTTATAATTTTGCAAGTGCCTCTTGGGGAGATGAGAACAGATTTGACTCCGTGAATGCTGACATCCTGAGAACACGAATTCTGCTGATACAGAAGCCCCATGATGTAATTGTCATTTGCAGCCCTAAAATTGGGTCCTTCTGTGTGGTAAGGCATTTCAGGCAATAACTGTCTGACAGATTAGCTTTTTAAAGAGTGCAAACCCAGGCTCCATGGTCTGTTACAGTCTGCATGATGTGGAAGATGTGAGTAAAATGGGAATCTTGAACTAAAAACCAAATAAAAAACCCAGCCCCGCCCCCCTTCACCACATATGTAAAATCAACAGAAAATGGGTAGCATGGATGGATGTGGTTTTGAATCTTTGGAACAAGTCAGTTGAGTGACAGCAAGAGCTATCAGGGGTGTAACTATAAACAGCAGACCTCATGTGCTCTTCTGGTCTGATTCTGTATTTTTACCACAGGTTGTATGTTCAAAAGCCTTCATTACTGACCTATTTCTGCTCTTACTGAAGATCATTTTAAAAATCTGACTGTCAAGCTCTTAGGAGAGCAGGTTATTGCCCTGGATGAGATTCTTTTGGATGCCCAGTAGAGGGAGGGGATGTCCCACTGGTGAGGGACTAGGGACCACAGTTCTAGTGTGGTCCTCTTGCCTCTGCAAGTTCTGCAGGACAGTTTTCTTTGCTTTAGTAGCCTTCTGATGCTGTGCTGTGTCAGACAAAAATCAGCTTGGAAAAGTGGAAAGTGTGGAAAGTGGAAAGTGTGACACATGAGGAATGATGGTAGAGTGGGCATGTTGTTAATGTTTTGCATAGTATTGCAGAGCATGAGACACTTCCCAGAAGCATTAGAAAAGCTTGTGAAAGAAATAAAGAAGTTATTGGTTATTGGTTGTATTTTTGGTTTTTGGTTTGTGGTGATTTTGTTTTTTTCAATTGGACAGATCACAGCAAGATTCAATAGTCATTATTACAATATAAAAAAGGCAGAAGGTGTCAGCATGCCTAATGGCCTGTCACCCAATGTAGTGCTTCTGTGTGTGTTACAGTCTCCAGAACACAGGCTATATTGAGGAGTTTCTACTTCCAGTTCCACTCACTCCTCTCATTTAAAATGAAAGCACAGAGCTTCTCAACAAATTGTAAATTTATTTTTATTAACGATCTTGATAATGCATTCCACCCATATTTTGTGAAATAAAAATACAGTTGCTTTAACTTTGCTGAAACTTGAAATCACCCTAATGCAGATACCAGCATGGAAAACTTAAGCCTAAAGTGAAATTCGGGAGCTTGACACTTGAGTCTTTAAATGGAACATTTTAGACAAGCATTAACTAGGGATAATGCTGCCATGGAACCAGACACATTTGTGAGAAGGCACCCAAAGTTTCATTGACTAAGAACAAAAACCCGTGCTGTTGATAGTAATGAAAAAAGTCTCATCAAATACATTTTACATAACAAATATTCACAAGAGTTCAGAGAAAATGCTACTGGAGAGGAGTAAACCCAAAGTATTTGGCTTTTTTTTTCCGTGTGCAGATCAGAGGTATAAGATGATACTGCTGATGGTTTGTTAAGGTAATTTCCTGGTAATCATTTGTATATTTTACTGTGCAGTGGATTGGTCTGCATTGATAATGGAAGAAATCATGCACTAAATTTTCATACAGCCATATCACATGGTTCACACCAAGTAAAAGTCTTTGTTTAGGGTGGTCTAGCCAGGGACTGGCATTTTTCAGTGTAATCTTGAGCAGGTAATAAAGCACTACCTTAAATGAGGTAGGCAATGTGTTCATCAAGAATTCCTTCTCAGCCTGCCTGGATAAGAGGATCATTGGGCAGAGTTCATAAAACCTTGGAAAGTTCTCTCTGGTCATCACAGCATATCAAATTTGGATTTATATTAGAGGAAGAAAAATGTTTTGACTGTACTTTGATAAATAAGATTTGAAATTTTATGGAAGTGGCTGAAAGCACCCTGTCTGTTCTACACTGTTAATTTGAACACTGCCAGGAATGTCCTTGGGGTGCTGCTGTTGGATTGCCAATACATGTTAGTGGGATTCCCCAAAGAAAGACAAAGAGGCAAAATCCCTTAAAATAATGCATTTTCTCATTGCCAGAATCAGGAAAGATAATAAGACCAAGTTTAGTTTCCTATTGATCAAATATATTAGGGAAAGTATCTCAGAAAGCATATGGTAAAAGCAAACTTTAACTTCTGAAGTATAAAAGAAGAAAATAACTCCAAAATTAATTTGAATTAAAACACAGACTCTTATTTTTAAGGTAATCTGTGGAGCACAAATCTGATGTATAGTAGACAGTATTTATAAAATTGTTATTTGGCCATTAATTTGCTCTTTCGGTATTTGGTATTAATTCAAAACAAATACAGATAAATCTGATCTGGACATTACCTGAAATTCAGAAAGTATTCCTGAATCAACATTATCAAACCTTTGCATCAAAATGATTGCCAGATTGTATTCAATCTTAAAAACTTTAAAAATTATTAACTACCAATTGCTTTCTCTTCTCACTTTGTTTTTTGAGGTTGGAGATGAGATAGTGCGCATAAATGGATATTCCATTTCATCATGCACACACGAAGAAGTCATAAACCTCATTCGTACAAAGAAAATCGTGTCCATAAAAGTTAGACGTAAGTACACACACACACACACACAAAAAATCCCGTCTGTCACCAAAGATTGCTATTAATGGATTGCTCATGGTCTGTAGAAACTGAACAAAATGTTTTTCCTTTTCAGATGTTGGCATGATACCTGTCAAAAGGTAATGGCTTTTCATTTGAAAACAGATTATTCATTTTCGCACAGTCTCTTCTACCCAAAGAATCTGTGTTTAATTACGAAAATGTGTGAATGATGATTAAAATGTCACATCCTTTTTAATGAACAAGCAGATGTCTTGTTTGATGAATCTGATTTTATACCAGTTTCCTACTTAAATGAACCAATTTATGTCTCCTCATTTGTCACGGACATCTGGAAAAATAATTATTAATGCACCTAGCTTAACAGAGAGCTCCATTGCTTATTTATGTATGTAGCATTTGATGATGGCTTCAGAGTTTAGAAATATTTAAAATTGTTTTGGTCTTCCAATTTTTGTTGGAAAGCTGGATCTTTAAGGGGGATATTTGAGAAATGTTAGTAACAGGAGGTGTTGCTCTGCATAGAAGTTTGCATAAAATGTTTGCATGGTTACAGTTCATTTTAGAGTGTTCCTTTGAGCTTCCTAAAACTGTTTCACCTGAGGGGGCTTTATCAGTTTTATATTCAACCTTTACTAGCCCAAATAATTTTATGCTTCTTTGATGTTCTGTTTAAATTGCGAGAAAATAAACCAGATATGAATGGTATCCAAAGAAAGTTGTGGAAAACAGAAGGCTCCATTCCAAAACAGGTTCTGGAATACATTCACGTTTATTTTGTCCCATTATTTAAATTTATTTTTTCCTTTCAGTTCACCAGATGAACCCCTTAAATGGCAATATGTGGATCAGTTTGTGTCAGAGTGTGGGGTAAGAGATCCATATTTTGTTAAATGTCTTCTGGGGAATCTGTAATGGTTCTGAAACACTTTCTTCTCTGACCTTATCAGAGAAGCTATTGTATGCATTACTATAATGCAATATCTTGTTGAAAGTGTTCTGTGAGGAATATCTTTCGTAATATGAAATGATTCTAGAGCTATTACATAAGGAAAGGGCAGGACACAAATGAAATTGCTTGTACTCATTAATTGCTTCTTCATTTTGCTTGAGCTTATTAATTTCCCAGGCTGGAGTTCTACTGCATAAATCCTTATTAGATTATTTGGCCTATTTTAGATGTATTAGTGGAGGAATTACAACTTTGAATGCAAGTGACTTCTAAGGGTTGCAGAAGTGAAAAGAAACACCGCAGTTACTGTTCTTTTGCTTTCAGGAAGAAAGACTTAGTTAAATAGAGAGCCTTATCATGTATTTCTCCAGCCCTTTTGTCAGGGAACATCTAAATGACTATTTTTCCATATCACTTTCCTCTAATTTTCCTTCACCCTTTTCTGAAGACAAAGTTTGATTATTTAAGTAGTCTTCTCCAAATAGATAAGTTCAGTTTTTCACCTCAGCCATGCAGATCCACTGAAATGACTCTGCTTCACATTCATTTCCACCAGGATAGTACCTTGGAGCTTTGAATCTTATCTTGATGCTGGCTGGGATTCATCTGGGTACATGAAATTTTATAGTAATCTTGATACGAATTTAAAACAGAATTAACATCTGCAGCATTGTTTAATCCCTCTACAGGAAGGAAAGGGCAGTGTTGCTGGACTTGCTTCTTCTGGAGGGAGAGACAATAAAGAGAAGAAAGTCTTCATTAGCTTGATTGGTACAAAAGGCATGGGATGCAGGTACGCATTTTTTATTTAATGTCACTCAAGACACTCAAGGCATTTATTTCTATCCTTCTTGGATAGGAAGTCGGGAAAATAAAGATGCCTGCTGGATCAGGAAGGCAAGCTGCAACAGCAGGATATCTGTGGCACTTATGACATATTTTTAGGCAAAGCATAAGTACCTGTGTCAAAAGACCTATTATAAAAAAAAAAACTTTAAAATTTAAAAATAATAGCCTTAGTACAAGTTGTAATGGAAGTGTGTCCATTAAATGCTTCTATGTTTTTAAGTACTTAAAAATGCTGCTCAGTGATGTAGCAAATTCCAGCACTATCCACTCTCAAGTTCACTCCTTGCACTTTGTACTCTTTCCCTGACCCTTTTCAGAACTAAAACACCTTCACAAAGATATATCCAGCTCCTAAAATTAATGTTAAATTTGCAAGGCTTTTTAGATATATGATTCTGAGATTCTTGGACTCCTATCCTTGCAATACTTAAGTTGGTTTTGGAATAGAATGGATATTGTAGAATTTCTTATATATTTAGAAGTATATGGTTGAAATTATCAGGTAATTTAGAGGATGTAAAGTTTTTTAAAAATTATTTATAAACCTGGAGGGGTGGCTTGTCATCATTTGTTGCAATGTAGTTTCTGTGTTTGGGCCCAGATTAGGTGGCAGCTTAATGTTCCTGAGCTAGACGTTGGCCTCTGGTTGAAATATCCTTCTTTCTCCTAATAAATAGTCCAAACAAAAAAATAACATTATATATATATGTATATATATATATATATATATAGTGTATGTTGCAGTTCAGTGAATAATTAGTAATTCTTCATTGTGTTGCTTGCTTTCAAATATCATTAGTGTCCTTAGTGTCCCAATCCTCTAGACAGTGTTGGTCAGCATATATATAAATTTCAGCATGAAAGACAAAATATAGAAGCTTGAATATTTTTCTTTTAGGTTTTTCTTTAAAACCAGTTTTGTGGTATAAAGAATAAAACAGTAGGATGACAAATCTATAACACATTGATTGTGTGCTGGTACATTTTGGTGTTTGTTTCAGTATTGGTTAATACCATAAATATTCTTTAAGCAAAAACAAATTATGAGGAAACAATCAAAACCATTCACTGTATTACACTGTATTCATCATAAATATTATTCTATAAATATTATCCAATTAATGTTTGGGTTTTTTTACATTTCCAGTATTTCCAGTGGTCCAACACAAAAACCAGGAATTTTTATCAGCAATGTTAAGCCAGGCTCTCTTTCAGCAGAGGTGGGATTAGAGGTAAGTTTGACACCTTCCAAGGTAGTTACCACAAGGAATTCTTTTTTTGTATTCACAGCTTCAAGGATTCATGGAGTTTTTTTCCCCATGAGAAAGAAATATCTGGTGGTTGCATTTCAAATAAAGCTAGTTTTCTAAAATTTTAAGAACATGAGTGACGTGGGTCAGATCAATATTCCTTCAGGCTCGGGATCTGATCCCGAGCAGTGGCAACAGAGGATCCCAGTGTAGGAGTGCAAGCCTGGCCAGCTTCCTGTCTGTTCCCCATGCACTCTGCCAGTACCTATGATTGTTGTGTGAAGTGTGTTAGAGAGCACATCTCTTTGTGTTTTCATTTAATGTGTGTACTAACTTAGCATCTGTATTAAAATATGCATTAATTTGTTTAGGTTGGTGATCAGATTGTTGAGGTGAATGGAGTGGACTTTTCTAATGTGGATCATAAAGAGGTAAAATAAAGTCTTCTTAATTCCCTGGATTTGTAGTTATCAACTTATCGAACACCTCTCCTGTTTTCCTGTCCACAGAAATTATGTTTTGATACTGGGCTACTGACTCAAGGGGTTGTGTATTGAGATTTGCATACCTACCACTCTGTTTAGCTCTGGAAATTCCAGCCATGGCAACCAGCATTATTCTGGCCTTTATCCCTTCATTCACGTTGATTTTTGTTTTGTTTTGATTTGCAGGCTGTCAGAGTGCTCAAGAGTAGCCGTACTTTGACTATCTCTGTGGTAGCAGGCGCTGTAAGTAGCATATTTGTAAAAGCAGAACATTTGTAAGCAGAAAATTGCTATGTGGGTAAAAGAAATGGTAAAAATAAATGAATAAAAGCAAAAGCTGTGTTTCTTTATAAGATCTATACCTCTGTCAAACCAGGACAGTTTTGAGTGGCATGTGACTCTTTGATGCCACACAAAGTATTCTCAAATAAAACATGACGGTGGACCAACGCAAAACCATTCCCTTGACAAGGAATGGAAATTAACTTTATTGTAATGGTCTCTCATGTTTGAGAGCTTCTGTTCTAATAGATACCTGCTCCTGCTGAAACATGAAAGGTGAATTAGATTGGAGACAAATAATTTTTAATCCTGAATAGATGATGCCTTAGTCTTACTCCAAATGAGTTCCTTTTGTAACTGTTTATCTGATCTCATTAGTGTTTTGACACACTGAAAATTACTCAATTTTTCATTTCCACTGTTCTGTGCAGCAGAACTATAAGCCTTTGGGGTCTAATCTAAAGCCAGCTGAAATTAATTAAATTTTCCCTCTGACTTCAGTGTGACTTTCAATAAATGTTTTAATATTTTTACAGCTTTAATCCTTCTTATATAAAGTAAGTAGTTGTATACAAGAGGATAATCAAGTTCATAGACTAATCAAAGAGAGTGTTTTCTAATTTCCTTGCAACTGAATGAAAAGATTTAATAAGTCACTTCAGCTGCTTCCTAAGGGCTCATGTATACTATGTAACTACATAAAGGAATGGTTTATTTGATCTTCTCTTACAGTAACAAAAGATGAAGATGTCCAAAGGCACTGTAGAAATTACTCTGGGCTAGTTGGTTAAGCTCCAGGAATTTGACATCCCAAGGACTTAGTTTCAACTCCCAGTTATGTTAACAACATATGTTAAAAATGTGAACTCTACCTCAGCATGCATCACTAGGGTGGTATCCTTAAAATGGCAAATTCTTGCTATAGAACTCTTCTGTTCCTCACTCCTTCACCTTGCATGTCTCTTCTCAATAGACAGCTCTGTCTGGAGAAGAGATAGCATAAGGAAGAAGTTTCCCTACTATGGTGCAAAGACATTCCTCAATGCCTGGTTTTGTTCAAGACGTCTACTTTGCGCTTTAAAGATAGGAATAATCCTACCTTCCTAATTAACATGGGATTTTCATTCCAGAAATGAAAATTAGATTAATGTTGTCAAAGTGTTCTACCTATAGGAGTATGGAAATATCTTTCTTGGATAGAAAATAGTGCTGGTCTCTTAATTGTAAAGCAAATGATACAGGAACAAAACCAACTGAAATACATAAACTTTATGGTGTTTTGGGGATATACATTCTCTGTATTTGGGTTCCTGAATGATGACACATCTCTGCAGCAGCCAGGCATTAAGAGCATTAAAACACAGTAACTGTGTAGTTGTCTTCACTTTGGGAATCATTCAAGTGTTCTGTTGTCTGGCATTTCATTGCTCAGTGAGATTTCAAGAAAGTATAATGTGAAGTTTTTTCTGGGTGACACACTGAGCATGTATTTGGCATGACTCCTACATTTTTGCTGACTTCAGTAGTGGCAAACCTCTTCTGAGGTGTTTGCACAGGTAACTTAGAGGCTGAAACTGGAATTGCTCCTTGGAGTAAGCAGTCAGATTTCTGAGGTTCTTTCAGGTTGTGTTCCTCAGGAAGCTCAATGTGAGGAAATGGCAGATGTGCTACAATGTATTTGCGTTTCAATAATTTCCTAGAAGAACTGCATTCATGAAATATTTTCACAACTGACTGGGGTGGTGGTTTTGATTGCAGGGAAAGGAGCTGTTCATGACTGAAGAAGAAAGGCAAAGAGAAGCACGTCTCCGTGAGCAGGAGCGCCAGGAGTTAATGCATCAGAAGCGGCTTGCACTGGAGACAAACAAAATCATCAAAGAGCAGCAAGAGAAAGAGAGATTGTGAGAACTATCTATAGGACAGTCTGAAAAATTTAGCTTGGATTTGGAGAGGGTGTGGAAGACAGGAGCACTTAATTATTTCTGTGATGCTTCTCACAGAAGTGAGATTCTCAACTTAGATTAACTTTGTGTTGCTTTTGCAGAGTCTCTGTTCATAAAATATTTGTCCTATGATGCTCTTGATGGTTCTGGGCTTTAAAAGCTGGTGTCATTCAAAGCCATCTTGAGTAGAAGGGTCACTCATACCCCAGTCATAGCCCAGTCATACCCAAATGATTCAGTGTGATATTTGTTATTTTCCTGATGCTATTTGTTCATGCTTTATTTTTAGCAAGGCCATGAGAAATTTTATACTCATACAAAAGCACGCTATATTCTTGCCTAAGGAGGAGGTAATGACTTAAAGAATTAAGTAGATGCTAAGTCATTATCTAGATGGTCAGAAATGTCCTCAGGAAACCATACTGAAACTTTGGTATCTTACAGATGACTTTTAAAACAGAGCATTTTCCCCCAGTACAAATGTATTTACTGCCTGTATCTTTTACTAACTGTATGCTGACACACTTGTTCAGGTTCTTACTCAGAAAATACTATTTTTATCATGTTGTCCTAATTTCTCTTATTATAGAAGAAAACTGGAGATTTCCCAGAAGGCTGCAGAGGAAGAAGAGAGATATCGCAGGGAAATAGAGCAGTGAGTAAAAACTTTACACAGGCAATGTGACACCTGGAAAATGGTTCCTTGTGCATTAGATCTGGCTGAAAGCATTCTGCACGTTGCTTTCAAATAAAATTGTGTAGCCTTTCCTTTTAGCTAAATGTAGGTTCCAGTATGTATCAGTAAGTATACCACAGTTAAAGAACAGGAACCTGATCTGAAAATCAGCACCTGTAAACATGAGGTTTATGGCAATAATAAATTCAATGGAATTTATTGAAGTGGAAGTTGAGCACTTATTTTAAAAGTGTTATTAATATACAGAGAAGATTAAGGAAGTTCTGTATTCCAGAACTTGTTTACTCTATTGTCACTGAAACGCTACCTTTAATTCAAAGAGAAAAAAAGCAGTACTGCTAAGAAACAGATCAGTATTATATTTTTAAATTAAGCATTCTTTTACATTTGGAAGCTTGAAGTTAACTGATTGTTATCACAGTAATTAACTTTCCTTCTAAATGATACTGGGAAATTCCATGAAAATGCAAGTTGCAGAATAATACCTGTTTTGATTCTGCCTTTTAGGGCTAAGATTGACCCTCAAGTCTTTAGCTTTGCCCCTTTGGCATATTCAGGGGGTTTTAATTCATTTAAGTCCCTTTTCATGTATCTGCATTAACTAAAATTTTCTGATAGAAAAAGAACAGGGATTTCTGAATTTGTAAGGTGCAAAAAGAAATGTATTCCCCAGATGTCACAAGAGAAAAGTCTTCTGGCAGTCCTGCTGTGGGCTCCACAGCAGCACCTCAATGAATTCTTCAGCTTTTCTGATCCTGGGGAATTTATAACATCCTGTTCTTTATTGTGGCCTACTATAGAAATTCCTGCAGTAGCCAAACACTGCTATAAAAGCAGAGCATTACAGGTAAAGGATGATTCTGTCCTCCAAATCTAGATTGCTTGTCTGTTATAATGGATGTTGGATGCTGTGTTGCTCTGCACTAAGAGCATCTTTATTCACTCAGGGAGGGCTTCCATGCCCTGAGGGCTGCTCAGTGCAAGGTCTAACACATCTTTCTACTTCCTTGTATAATTTCTAAGTGTTGCTCAGGCACTTTTAAGCTTTTCCATATTACAATCCAAATAGTTAAGTTGATGTCAATCTCCTGGGTGAGGAAGAGGGAGAATGGTAATAGAGGAACCTAGATGAAATCTAAAGCTGAGATTTAAAGAGCAGTTGTGGCAGGCAATACAGTACTTTTCTGTATTAATTGTTTGTGAGGATCATGCCTTGCCTTCTTTTAAGAATCCTTTCTGCAGAAATTCCTTGTATAATTTGCTGTGCCCTTTTTTGGTATCTTACATTTGAAAAAAATTTCAAATGTGCCTAAATGGCAGAGGTCCTTAATTCTATGTACTACAAGTTACATTGTGGCACCAATTTTTAAACAAAAATTAAATGAAAAACATTCTGTCCATTGTTCCCTGACAATGCCTTTAAATTTAAGTAGTGAGTTAAGCTAAAGATTTAAGAGTGTTTTGACTCCATGTGAATATTTTTTCAATTTACTTTAGCAAATTTAGAGATGCAAAAGATAATCCAAATATAAATAGTATCATATATATATCTAAGACCTGATAAATTTTGACACCACATTATCAGTTCAAGGCAAGCTATAGTCAAGAATTGGATCATTAGATATTGGATCATTTAAGGCAATGTATATGAAACTACATGTTGTTAGGTTATTCAGCACTTCTGCTGTGACATACTTAGTATTTGCTGAATTTTTGTTTGAAACATCTTTTTTCTGGGATCGTGGTGACATACTAGGTGATTTACTCGTTCTCCATTCTCTTTTCCTGAAGTGTGGCACTCTCTGCACCATCCCCATCCTTTCTCTGTACACATCTGTTCCCCTCTCTTCTTTTTTTTTTAATTTTTCTCTGTTTTTTTTTTCCTAGAATACAGTATTTGATATGGTTTCTGTTCCTACAATATTTATTTCTTTTTGGGAAGAGTCACTTTTTATGGCAACCTAGAACTATGTGTTTAGGAAGCAATCATCAAAATAGATTTAAAGGTATAGAGAGGGGGCACATATTTTTTAGGTATAATTTGCCATTGTGATATCTGATTTAGGTATATGGTAGATGTTCTGTCACTCAGTGTTTCAGTTAAAATTTGCAGTTTTACTAGTAAGTAATTTAAATCCTAAAAATGAAAAATTGCTAAGCAAGGGATGTATTTTTTATTTCATTTAAGATGACAGTCAGTACTGCAGTGTGTCACTCATGGCTTAGTATCTGTGCAGGTGTTTATATAACAGGCCTTAGAAGCCTAAATATTAAATAAGAATATCTTACACTGTATTTTGCAAATTATCTCAGTAGCTTAGTAAATGAAACAGATTGATGAAAGGAATTCAATTATGAGGATGAAGCAGTTTATTGTGCTTTATATTCAAGAGAAAAAAACAAATATGCTGAAAAATTATACTGTTAGTGAATATATTATTTATACTGATGAATTATACTGAATTATACTGAATTATACTGATGTTGTTGGTTTTTTACTCAGAATGTCTAACTGCATTTGTTTGCTCTAGGATAACAGCAGAGGAAGAGAAATTTAAAAAGGAGTGGGAAGAAGACTGGGGTCCTAAAGAACCACCCAAGTCTCTAAAAACTGTAACTGCAGAAGTGCACTCTGCCCCTCGTTCCAAACACAAAAGTAAGTAATTGATGTCAACTTGCCTCCTTCTGTTTGTCTCAGACACATCACTGAGCTGTGTGGAATATACCACCAGTTTGTCTCCAAGTTAAGCTACCTATGAATTGGTTGTTTTCAGAAGGCTGGAAGCATATGATAAATCAATTAAATAACTCTTATTTAACAGGTACCTATCTTGCAAAGTCTACATCCATTCAAGTAGTCATGGTTTTTAACAATCATCAGCAGGAAAAATATAAAGAATAAGGCTTATTAAGAAATGGTCTGAAGCATCAGCCTCTATAGCCTGGGGGTTTGGTGCACTGTTTTGAATGTTATTTCTGTTCAGTGTTTACCTGTCAACCTTTTCACGGTTTGGATTGCAAGGGATCTTACAGATCACCTTGTTCCAACCCCCTGCCATGGGTGGGGACACCTTCCACTACACCAGGTTTCTCAGAGCCCCATCCAAAACTGCCCTTGAACTCTGCCAGGGGTGGCACATCCACCACCTACCCTGGAAAACCTGTGCCAGTGCCTCAAAGTAAAGAATATCTTCCTAGTATCTGATCTAAATCTATCCTCTTTAATTTAAAGCCATTCTCCCTTGTCCTGTCACTACATGCCCTTTAAGGACTTCATTTTCAGTTTTCTGATAGCCCCTTTTAGGTACCCAAAGGCTGACCTAAGGTCTCCCAACAGCCTTCTCTTCTCTTCTCCAGGCTAAACAGCCCTCACTTCCTCAGCCTTTCCTCACAGCAGAGGTGCTCCAGCCTGATCATCTTCAGGGCCATCTGTTGGACCCATTCCAACAGCTCCACATCCATCTTATGTTGGGAGCCCCAGAGGTGGATGCAGCACTCCAGAAGGGTCTCATGGAAGCAGAATAGAGGGGCAGAATTCCCTCCCTTGCCCTGCTGCCCATGCTGCTCTTGGCGCAGCCCAGGATGCTGCTGACTTTCTGACTTACTTGTCCAGAGGAAATTAAGACAGTTGGAGCTTAGCTGGCAGTTAAGAATCTAAATTGGAAGCTGCAAATTGTATGTGGAGAGTGTACTAAAATTGTATTCTACGAAGAAAAATGTGGAAAGTGCTTGTTACATAATTTACAGGAGACCTGGGCTGATTCCTCACCTAATGTTATTTTATTATATTATTTTGTGTGTGAATTTGGGAAAGTCTGCTGATGGTTCCATTACAGGAAAAACCACCAAACTCTTTAGGCTTCCCTTCATCACATAGCAGACTAATTGTCCACGTGTAGATTCTTACAGCTCTTCAGGACTGGAGGAGTTTGGAGATTGATTTAAGTAGGGCCTTCTTTTTTTAACCATTCTGTAGAAACACATCCCATCACTAACTACTTTTTTTTTTTTATTTCATGGAAACTTCTAGTCACACATTACTGATCTGTTTTTCATTTCATGGGAACCTCTAGTTACTGTCGCTTCTGTCCCCTCACCCCTTTCCTCCTTTGTTTCTCTAGTAGATTTAAAGGAATTTGCACATGACCAACTTGAAACTGATGACGTGGATGACATGAACATGAAGCAGGACCAACAGGTTTGCCACTCAGCCCTCACTTCCTATCTTTATTCATATTCTTCCTGTGTCTCACCTCCTCCTGACAGTCAGTCTTGACATTGAACTGACCATTTGGTTTTCCTAGGGCAATATGTGTGGTCCTTTAGTAAATGATGGAAGATTTTGACACTGCTGCTGTCATCGCATCTAAAAATACGTTGATATGAAATCTAACCCTACAGAAACGTGGACTATATTGAGTGCTCTGTGTTAGCAGTGTTTCTTATATAAAGTTATGGTAATATATTCTTTTGTATGTTTTTACTTCAAAATGTATTTTATAATATCTATGCACTTGGCTTGAAATATTTTGTCCTGGGAAATGGAGATTTTTATGTCTCCTCAAAAGCCATGTTCTGCCACAAGCTTGAATGAGTTCGAATACCTGTTTAATTTTCATAAGACTTGCAAAAACTACTGTAAAGTAGGAGTGTGACCATAGAAATCTTAGCAATGCACATGCCTGTGTGGTTCTGTATTATTTGCTGCATTTTCTTTGTTTGGCATAAAATGTGTATCATTAAAACAAGGGAAACGTATGACTAAGTGTACTAGAACCATTTATCAAGAATTTAGCTAGGAACTTGTCATGTAATATCAAACCTCTGGTGTTGCACCTTCAAATAAATTTTAATCAGTTACACACGTCAGCATGGATTGGTCTGAGTACAAGCATGTCCTCGGCTTTTCTTCCAAAAACAACTTTTCCTTTACCTTTTGTAGCCTTTGGATGGTTTTATCGGTATGATGGAAAATTTCCCACAATCCGTAAGGTACAAAGTTTGAAATGTCAGTTTGCTGTGTGTGAGTTTGAAATGGAATTCCTCGTTTTTCTTCTTCTCTGTTGTTAGTAAACATTTTTTACAGTCAACCATTCCTTCTTTTAACGTGTGCACAAATTAAAATACCTTTGTCTAGGCATTTTGTGTCTAGGACTTTGTCCTTTTGAGTCCTTCAGGCTCTGAGTTCCACCATGTGCAGAGGGAGTTGTATAACATTACTTTGCAGAAGGTGTTCATTACAGGTGGGCAGTGCATGTCTTCATGTTCTCTGAAAGTCCTCAGAATCATGTGTATATAAAAACAGTACAGAGCCAAAAAATTACACAGTTATACCTTAGCAAATCTCCCTGTAGGACGAGTGAAGGAAAAAGGCTTTTAGGCATGCACAGATGAGCGAAAAAAAGAAAAATTAGCCATCTTTAAGCTGATAGAATATTTCTTTATCTGTAGAGATGCTGCTGAAGTAATGCAATTTCAATTTATGAGAGTTTCAAATAATGTTCTATACTTGCTGTTGCTTCCTTCTCTTTATTTCTTGCATTGTATATTAGCCTTATTATAGGGGGATTGCTATAGTGTTGTGTGCTTTGGTGGTGGTTTTTTTGGTAATTAACTGTAGTAAAATTGCCATGAAAATTTTGTGCATGTATCTGTCAAGAACTCAAGGTTTCAGGATTGTTTCTGACAGATGAAGTATTTGTATCGCTGTTTGGGAGTATTGCTTTGACTTTCTGTGGGTCCAGGATATACCTGTTTTCCATAAAAGAGATTAGGAGAAGATGGTTCATTCCAATACCTTTTTGTACTGCTAGTGACCGTAAATCATCGTGGATCTGTAACCAGTGTGAAAGCCAGGGAAGTTAGGATTTTTATCAGAAAATTATAAAGGCATGTTATGGAAATCCTTCACACAAAGAGGGTAATATTTTGTGTTGCTGCAGACAGCTATAATTTAGAGAATGCCCAAATACATCTTCTCATATTAATGATCTTACACAATTCCTACTGAACTTTACCAAACAGTGTGCACTAGAAGCTTGAAAAGATTTATTTTTAATCATTGGCTTTTGGCAGTGATGCATTTTCATCCTACTCCCTATTGCTAATGATTTTTTTGTTTGTTTTAAAAACAAAATTTCACTCTGTACTAAAAATGTCTATAATAGGAAGTAAACTGAATCCATGGGGAAAATTGTAGGAAAGGATGAATCATCCTGTTGTGTCTGAATGCTGTGAATGCAGATAAGACACTCAGATACATGTTCATGTTCTAGAAGTCTTTGGCTTGTGTAGTGCTTAGTGTGCCTTTGAATTCAGTAATTCTTCAAATGTTGACACCTAGCAAGTTGACCTGCCTGATGTTACATTTAGCAGACAGTACTAAACGTATCTTGAATTTTTTAGAGGATGATATTGGCAATTGTTGTTAAGATAAAAACTAATTATCCCTGAATAAAATACACCACAGAATTAGGTTTATGTTAAAACATTAGTGTGAAAAGCTAGAATTTTTTTAGCTAAGCTTTATCTCCAATATTTTTGGGGTTCCTTTTCCCTCTGCTCTCCTCCCTACAGCACCACCACAACGTAAGCATGAAGCAATAGACCACATCCTACTGAACTCAGCAGTACAAAGTTCCAGTTAACTGCTTGACTGGGGGAATTGGCTTGTAGCAGCCAGGGAAAATGCCTGTTTTCCAAGGCTTTGTTCTCAATATCAATGGGCAAAAGGTGAAAGGAAGACAAATAATGTTATTTAATGTGAAGCAGTTAATGGTGGTTTTGGGAATTCAAAGCATGAAAAGTCAATAGCTGATGATGATGATAAGAACAAAATTAAACCTGAAGCACAGCCTTTCTGGCAGTGGCAGTAATTGTCAGTAAGTGGCCATCTGCTCCTCTGTTTTACTTTTCATAAATGAAAGGAGAACATGGCATTTCCAGTATGAGCTGAGTCCTACCTGTACAAATGTGAAAGGGTAGCAGAAATGTGACATCACTGAAGTAGAAACAAGGAGCAGTGTCTGTTTTGAAGACAACAGCAGCAGAGGCTTCCAAAAGAAGCCTATAGCTTTTCCCTCTGTTTGTATCCCACATCTAAAATTTTAGAGTCACTTTGTGCTTGTAGAAGCTACATGGTATTTATGATGATGCAGTGTTCCTTCTTGGAAGAAACTCAGTTTCTGCACTGATCTAAACCTTTCCTTTATAATTAGTTCCTTATTTCAGTTTTATTAGAGGATGCAATGCTGATTTTAGGGCATATGCATGAAACTGTTGGATGCATGGACTATTCACATCTACCTGTACATGAGCATCTGTCACCTGAAAACAATCAGTCAGATATATATAAATGCCAAAAAAGAGAGATGACTAATCAAGACCAAACCAAAACTGTTTGAACATTCCAAGTTCTGTAGTGAGCTTGTGTGCCCTGAAGTTGTAAATCTGCAGAGGAACAAAAAGGTTTTTCTGATCTCATCCAGCTTATGTTTGGAGGCACAAGCCCTCCAAAAAGTTTGAATTTCCTGCAAATTGCTGGGTTAATGGACTTTGGATTTTCCTTTAAAAAAAAAAAAATCCCATACTTGCATAGAGTGTAATTAATTTTTCAAGGCAGATACTCATGTACCAAGATTGAAGCTTGTGGTGTTTTTAGCTGATGTAAAAATTCTTGTTAAAAAACCTTCCCAGAAAGGGAAAGAACGAAAGAAGTCAAAAAGTGATAGTTTTTGTGAACAGAGGAAGAATAAAAAGGAAATGGAGTTTGAGCAAAAACTTGCCAAAGAGAAAGAAGGTATGCTGGAGAAAGAAAAACAACTGAAAATAAATCGTCTTGTGCAAGAGGTATGTTGTGATCCATCAAGTGCAAAGGTATATTGAAAGAAAATTAGATGGGTTTTTAGTGGAATTATTTTTAGCAGGACACTTGTTTAATTCTGTCAGAGATAATGAAATTTTAAAAGCTGTTTTACTGCAAAATTCTGCCACCACATTTGCTTAAAAAGTCAGCTTTTGCCCAAATGAGGATATCTCTGCAGTTGTGTCCATGTGTAGTGATGAATTTAATGAATAGGAAATCCTTCTTAAAATTATTATTGTTATTATTTTAAAAACTATTTTAGGTGGCATTTCATACTTGTATTATGACTATACCTATAACCTTTTCTAATGCATCAACGTTATGGTCAAGGTATCTGAGACAGAACGAGAAGACCTGGAAGAATCAGAAAAGGTGCAGCACTGGGTGGAAAGACTTTGTCAAACACGATTAGAACAGATTTCCTCTGTGGAGAATGAGTCTCCTGAGGTAAAATTCTAGCTTTTCCATATATTGCATGATCTCTAAATAACTGAAAGTTGCCTCCTAAAAGCAACAGGTTTTACCAGTAAAAAAATCTGTCTTTGTCTTTCCCCCTCAGTCTTCTTTCTAAGAGGTGGGCGAAAAAGTCAATAATTGATGACTTACAATCTACAGAATTTGCTTTTCCTATATTTTATGAAGATTTAATCATTATTTTAACGAACTGATTTTATTTTGTCCTTTTTAACTATATTAATATAACATTACGTTGATTATGTTATATTATGTTATGTTATATGCAATATTATATGCAATATTGTATGTAATATTATATGTAATACTATAATATTATTATATTGTTATTGTTGTCATAATAATACTATTGTTTTAACTATATATCACCACTAAATTAACAGTTTTATTATCTCATGAAATATTTGGACTAGGTGGGACATGCTACCAGTAACAAATGCTAGATCCAGCTATATTTATTAGTATCATGTGAATATAATATTGATGATGAGCTCTTGAAAGCTTTCTTCTATTGCGTGAAATAAAGGAACAGGATAAGAAAATTAGAAAAATATACAAAACTCACAAGGAATAGGGTTTGAGCTTGTACTTTAAGTAGTCCCCTTTAATCAGGGGAGCTGCAGATAGCGATTATTCCTTAGAGCCTGATGGTTCTACATGTGGAGTGAGGCTTTCCCACCATCCTGTTGCTCTGGCTGTCCTCCAAGGAAAGCCACTTCCAAGAGGAACACTGCAATCTAGTGAGCTCCCGTGGGATGCCCAAGAAACTGCAACCACAAAAGGGACCTTGGGGAACACTCTTGCATGATTTTCCTTCAGGTCAGTGTGGAGCAGCTCTGAATAAAGCAGATGATCTTTTG